GCTCAGCAAGTTCCACCACCTTTTTTTCTGGGGGGGGGGAGCCTTGGGTCCCTGCACTAATTTCTCAGTTGTGACATGCTGTGCAAAACAAATTTGCTATCAAACAATTCCATAACATTCTATTTTGAGCCCTTGGGGGGGGGGAGTGTGTTTTCTACAGAATATGTAGGATTTTTTGATGAGGCCATATAAAGTGCTGCTTGGGGCTTGAAGGAATCTAGCACTAGACTCATTCAATAGATGTCTCTGTCATGAAGGAAATATGTACAATTGCCTCCACCCAGCCAACATAATGCAATCTAATTACAGTGGGAGATAATTTGGTGCCATTCTCTACATCATTTGGCAACTAAAGCAGTCCAGAATGTACGTTCAGTAAATTTGAACAGTCAAAATTATTAAGCGACCAGGCATCTTCCTCTGCTACAATAAGATTGCTATAAAGGAAGCAGAACCTCTGAGGGGAAAATGTCCCTGCTCCACATAGTACTACAGAAAGTTTAGCAAGTCACGATTTTGAAACTTTCTACCTCCAGGCGACGGCATTTTCTGCACTGATTTGCAAAGGAATTCTTTGAGCATCTGCCACAGAACTCCTTTGTGCTTCAGAAGATTTTGAGTCATTGCCAATCAGTTCACATGAAGCACTAGCCAGGCCTATGAGGATCATTGCAGGGTAAGGAGATCAGTAGTACTGGGCAAGCTTATCTTTGGTTTGTTTGCCTTTATTGATCTTCTCATTGGGGGCCTCCAGCATTCCTTGGAAACATGTTCATTTGATAGGATGAAACAGAATCATAGAATCATAGAGTTGGAAGAGACCACAAGGGCCATCGAGTCCAACCCCCTGCCAAGCAGGAAACACCATCAGAGCACTCCTGACATATGATTGTCAAGCCTCTGCTTAAAGACCTCCAAAGAAGGAGACTCCACCACACTCCTTGGCAGCAAATTCCACTGTCGAACAGCTCTTACTGTCAGGAAGTTCTTCCTAATGTTTAGGTGGAATCTTCTTTCTTGTAGTTTGGATCCATTGCTCCGTGTCCGCTTCTCTGGAGCAGCAGAAAACAACCTTTCTCCCTCCTCTATGTGACATCCTTTTATATATTTGAACATGGCTATCATATCACCCCTCAACCTCCTCTTCTCCAGGCTAAACATGCCCAGCTCCCTTAGCCGTTCCTCATAAGGCATCGTTTCTAGGCCTTTGACCATTTTGGTTGCCCTCCTCTGGACACGTTCCAGTTTGTCAGTGTCCTTCTTGAACTGTGGTGCCCAGAACTGGACACAGTACTCCAGGTGAGGTCTGACCAGAGCAGAACACAGTGGCACTATTACTTCCCTTGATCTAGATGCTATACTCCTATTGATGCAGCCCAGAATTGCATTGGCTTTTTTAGCTGCAGCGTCACACTGTTGGCTCATGTCAAGTTTGTGGTCAACCAAGACTCCTAGATCCTTTTCACATGTACTGCTCTCAAGCCAGGTGTCACCCATCTTGTATTTGTGCCTCTCATTTTTTTTGCCCAAGTGCAATACTTTACATTTCTCCCTGTTAAAATTCATCTTGTTTGTTTTGGCCCAGTTCTCTAATCTGTCAAGGTCGTTTTGAAGTGTGATCCTGTCCTCTGGGGTGTTAGCCACCGCTCCCAGTTTGGTGTCATCTGCAAATTTGATCAGGATGCCCTTGAGTCCATCATCCAAGTCGTTGATAAAGATGTTGAATAAGACCGGGCCCAAGACAGAACCCTGTGGCACCCCACTAGTCACTCTTCTCCAGGATGAAGAGGAACCATTGATGAGCACCCTTTGGGTTCGGTCAGTCAGCCAGTTACAAATCCACTGAGTGGTAGCATAGTCAAGACCTCATTTTACCAGCTTCTTTACAAGAATATCATGGGGCACCTTGTCAAATGCCTTGCTGAAATCAAGGTAGGCTACATCCACTGCGTTCCCTTCATCTACCAGGCTTGTAATTCTGTCAAAAAAACGAGATCTGGTTAGTCTGACATGACTTATTTTTCAGAAATCCATGCTGACTATTGGTGATCACAGCATTCCTTTCTAGGTGCTCACAGACTGTTTGCTTAATGATCAGCTCCAGAATCTTCCCTGGTATTGATGTCAGACTGACTGGGCGGTAATTATTTGGGTCCTCTCTTTTCCCCTTTTTGAAAATAGGGACAACATTTGCCCTCCTCCAGTCTGCCAGGACTTCGCCTGTTCTCCAGGAATTCTCAAAGATGACTGCCAGTGGTTCTGAGATCACATCTGCCAGTTCTTTTAATACTCTTGGATGCAGTTCATCTGGCCCTGGAGACTTGAATACATCTAAACTAGCCAAGTATTCTTGTACTATCTCCTTAGTTATTCTGGGCTGTGTTTCCTTTGCTGAATCACTTGCTCCAAATTCTTCAGGTCGGGCATTGTTTTCTTTATCGGAGAAGACTGAGGCAAAGAAGGCATTGAGGAGTTCAGCCCTTTCTGTGTCCCCTGTTTGCATTTCACCATCTTCTCCTCTGAGTGACCCCACTGTTTCTTTGTTCTTCCTTTTGCTACGAACATACCCATAAAAGCCTTTTTTGTTGCTTTTAACCTCTCTAGCAAGCCTGAGTTCATTCTGTGCTTTAGCTTTTCTGACTTTGTGTCTACACGTGCTGGCTATTTGTTTGAATTCCTCTTTGGTGGTTTCCCCCCTTTTCCATTTTTTGTACACATCCTTTTTTAATCTTAACTCAGTTAAAAGTTCTTTAGATAGCCACACTGGCTTCTTTAGGCACCTTCCATGTTTCCGTCTCATTGGTATTGCCTGACGTTGTGCTTTTACTATCTCCCTCTTAACAAACTCCCAGCCATCATGAACTCCCTTTCCTTTTAGTATTACTGTCCATGGGATCTCACCCAGCACTTCCCTAAGTTTTATGAAGTCGGCTTTCTTAAAGTCAAGAAATTGAGTCCTAGTATGCTTGGCTGCTCCTTTCCGCTGTATAGTAAACTTCAGAAGAGCATGATCACTCGCGCCTAATGATCCTTCCACTTCTACCCCACTAACCAGGTCATCAACATTGGTTAGGACCAGATCTAAAATGGCTGTTCCTCTTGTTGCTTCTCCCACTTTCTGGACAATGAAGTTGTCTGCAAGGCCAGTGAGGAATCTGTTTGACCTTATGCTCTTGGCTGAGTTTGACATCCAGCAAATATCCGGGTAATTGAAGTCCCCCATTACCACTATCTCCCTTCCTTTTGCATGCTTGGCCATCTGTTCCAGGAAGGCATCATCTATGTCCTCCGTTTGGCTTGGGGATCTATAGTAAACTCCCACAATGAGGTCACTGTTATTCTTCTCTCCCTTAATTTTGACCCAAATGCTCTCACTTTGGCTTTGAGGTTCTAAATCTTGGATCTCTTCACAGGTATACACATCCCTGACATATAACGCCACTCCTCCTCCTTTCTTGTCTGGTCTGTTTCTCTGAAATAGATTGTATCCCCCATTATTACATTCCAATCGTGGGACTTATCCCACCAGGTTTCAGTGATGCCTATTATGTCATATTTAGTTTGCTGTACCAAGAGCTCAAGCTCATCTTGTTTATTTCCCATGCTTTGCGCATTAGTGTACAGACATTGAAGTCCATTAATCATTCCCCGTGTCTCTTATTTAAGGATTTTTCCTCCCACCACTAGGTCTGCGTGCTGTTTGCTCCATTTGGTCTATGACATTTGGATGATCATCTTCATCAATTGATAGACTCCTACCTTCAGGAGCACTGTCTCCCTTCCCCACATTAGTCAGTTTAAAGCCCTCCTGATGAGGTTTCTGAGATTTTTGGCAAAAACATTTCTCCCAACCGTTGTGAGGTGCAGCCCATCGCCTGCCAGAAGTCCATCTTCAAGAAACTGCAGTCCGTGATCTAAGAATCCAAACCGTTCCTGTTTACACCATTTGTGAAGCCAGCTGTTCACTTCCACTATTTTTCCTCTCTCCCTGGGCCACGCTCGTTCAACTGGGAGGACAGATGAGATGACAATTTGTGCATTTAATTGCTTCAATTTCCTGCCCAGAGCCTCGTAGTCTCTTTTGATCTTCTGGAGGCTATTGCTTGCAGTGTCATTGGTTCCCACATGAACCAAGAGGAAGGGGTATTTGTCAGTGGGTTTTATGATTCCTTGCAGTCATTCAGTTACGTCTTGGATCTTAGCCCCGGGGAGACAGCACACTACCCGAGACATCTTGTCAGGCCCACAGATCACTGCTTCTGTTCCCCTCAGTAGGGAATCCCCTATCACCACTACACGCCTCCTCTTAGGTTTGGTCAGGGTTCTTCCGTGAGCTGTCCGTTCCAAGGTCGCCTGCACATTCCCTGAGGACTGACTTTGCTGCTCGTCTTCATATACCTGATCGACTGTAATGAGGGAGAGATCCTCAAATGGAGTCTGCTCTTCGTCTTCCATGCTAGGGGAGAGGACCTCAAAGCGATTGTGTATTTCTAAACAATCAGAGCGAACCCTGGGCCTCCTACTTCTTTGAGTCACGTTTCTCCATATATCTGGCTCCTGTGTTGGTGAACTAGCCTCCTCAGGGGAGTCCCCTGTCTCCTCCTTGGTGGAGACGGTGTGCTCTGTTGCTTCCAAGAAGAGCTCCAGCTCTCTAATTCTTTGGAGCGTAGCTACATGTTCCTCCAGTTGCTGGACTTTGTCTTCTAAGAGGGCAATCAACATGCAATTGCTGCAGGTAAAGCTGCCTGCAACCTTTGGCAAGATGGCAAACATTGCGCAGGAACCGCAGGCGACTGCAGCTGTTCCCTCCCCCTCCAACTTGAGAACGTGTCATTGGGGGTGGCTACAGCGGTCCTCCATCATAAAAAGCGTGAAGACAGGACAAATAACTCCCCCCACAAAAAAACCTAGGTCTCCCCCAACAAACGTTTGGGACTAGCTCCCCTAGTCCCAAACATAAGACAGGGTTGTCTTATGTTGTTCACATGGCTGGAAATTGAGCTGGGATAGCTCAGTCGGTAGAGCATGAGACTCTTAATCTCAGGATTGTGCCCCGCATTGGGTGAAAGATTCCTGCATTGCAGGGGGTTGGACTAGATGACCCTTGCGGTCCCTTCTAACTCTACAATTCTATGGTTCTTTTAAAAACAATGCTACAGCAATTTGGCTTCGGTGTAGTCCTTCCAGGAAGATTTGTTGAGGGAGGAGATTTTAAAACCTAGATAATAATGTCATGAAAAGAAGTATGTGTTTAATTTTATATTTTCCTCCCTCTCTCTTCTGGAGAAAACTGTCGGTTGGTGTGTGTGTGTGTGTGTGTATGTGTGTGTGTGTGTGTGTGTGTGTGTGTGTTAGAATTATCCTTGTGTTAAACTCCAGATAGAACCCTAGTGATTGGAATCAGTTAACACAGGCATTGGCTTGCGCCTTTTTGAAGCTGATTGAATTCTCATTAGAACCTCCCTGAGCCAAAGAGAGAGAGAGAGAAAAGTTATGTTTCATGTGTTAGGGAGGTTTTTAACGGAGGTAAATGAAAGGCACCCATTTTGTATCGCAGCTACTAGAAGCACGTCTCTAATTAGGGAGGCTGCTTCTGAGTGCTCTGTTTTAGAAGAAAGAATCACTTGATCTATCATAGTATTTTTCCATTTGCACAATCTCTTCAGTGCTGCCAATTTGTAAATGTACACACACATCAGAATACAGAGGAGCCCTGCTGGATCAGTCCAGTGGCTTGTCTAATACAGCATCCTGTTCTCACAGCGGCCAACCAGATACCTGTGGGAAGCCCAAAAGCAAGACCTGAGCACAGCCACACTCTCCCAGCTTGTGATTTCAGAAGCACTTAGTTCTTCCTACAGTAAGAATTACCTTCATGTGACTTTACTGTGGCATAATAGCTTTTCCATATAGGTGGAGCTTTTAGGGACAGCAGAAACTTGAAATTTTCAAATGTTTAATGATAATACAACATTGCAATAATGTAGCAGTTTAGAGTAATCCTTACAATCAATCTCTTCAAGGGTCCTTGCAATTGCTTCCTTCCCCCTGCTTCCTTCCTGCTCTCCTATTGGTTAGGTGATAATTCCATTGCAGAAAACAAATCAAGGAATTATAAAATCTGGTTTGGAGGCTAAAATATTTTGCTTCAGTGAGCCCTTGCTTTCTAATATTCAGAACATACAAGTGTGTAAATTTGGCTCATTTTGTACCGTCTGTCTTTTACCACATTAACCTTGCAATCCTATGCACACTTACCCAGAAAGCAAGCCCCATTGGACATAGTACTTACTTCTCTGAATATATGCACAGCAGGCTATAAATCAGGGGTGAGCAGTTATTCATTCCCCAGGTTATCACTGCTCTTGCTAGTATCATCTTATCACAATGAATGACTTTCAGGAATGTTTGTGCATTTTAAATGGATTTAATTCTGTATTATAACTTTTTTTGTTGAAACAGAAAGCCTATGTAGTCACCACGACTCCTTTTATAGACATCAGTTCAATATTTGCGTGGTAAAATCTTGGCAATATTTTTGTATTCATTAGTTAAATGCAGGTTGTACAATAAAGGAAACTGGCGCAATCATCAGTACTATGGCTAAGTAAGAAAATGGCCTCTGTTGCTTTTGAGTTAATCAGAATGAAAACATTATACTACCTAACATTATACTACCCAGCTGGTTTGTATACGTCTAAAATCTTCTATTTGCAGCAAGCCTGCGAACACAGGTGAGTAGTGGAAGATGTGATTGCACTGACAGATGCTGCTTCCCAGTTTTGGTTGGCAAAAGCAGAGTGTCTGGAAAAATGGCCTTCCACACTCATGCAAATTGCTGCCAGGAAGCAAGTGTCTGTCAACATGGTCGTTGACAGCTCATACATTGCTACCTCCACATTTTTGAATCCACAGGATTGAATCACATAGAATATTTTAAGATGTATGAACTTTTCCTCCATTAGCGTGTTAGTCAAATGGTCTCATAAGTCTAAGCGATGAAATCATGTTCTCTCTACTAGATAAACTACATTTCAAACTCCTATTGGGAAAACTTTCAAGCTTTTGTTTTGACGGCAGTAGCTTAAGTGCTGGTTTCTACTGCCTTCTTATATAAAAGTCAACCATGAAAACCTGGTAACAGATAGAAGGATCCAATTATATGTGTGACATGATAACTCAATGTTTGATGTTCACAGAGTTTTTCTAACCCTTTGTTTCCTTGTTGCAACACCGTGGATGTCCACCAGGGAACAAAGGGATAGGGTCCCCCTTCCAATAATGCCCCCTTCACCACCAGATGACCCATAACCTCTAGATCTCCAGCTTTCTTTTTTTTTAAAAAAAGGATGTGTTTCTAAAATTTGTAGACATTGAGAAGTGAAATGTACAGGCAATATTTAATTTTTTGGGGTGTCTGCTCCCCCTTTCAGTGTTTTATTTTGCTCCCCGCTCTCAGAAAAAAAATCCTGTGGATACTCACATGCAACACCAATCTGAACCCCTCCTTGTCAAGCTATTGTTAGCCACGGAAGGGGAAATGAGAGTTTAGGAAGCCTAGCCTAAGTATTGAGAAATCAAAGTTTCTTTCTGCTGTTACTCTTAATATGTCACGGGTGCCTTTTGAACCAGTGTGCTCTTCATTAGGGGATATTATTTCCATTAAAACAATTTTAATATTTGCTTACTGGATGTTTTACAGTCTTTTTATCTTTTTATCAACCTTTTCAGTTGAGGTTATCTGATCCTAGTCTTTCTGCAACAATAACAAGCCATGGCATGTATTTAAAAAACAAATTCAAGTAATTTGTCACTGACTCAGTGACCCAGTATCCCATGATTGTAGAGGTTAAACTGCCTCATTGCACTCCTTTTGATCTTAGAGTGTATAGTAACTTTTTTTCTTTTCTTTTTTGGAGATCCACAGAGGCAGTGATGATGTATGTTCCAACATCTGATGTTGGATGCTATTTTTCTGTTAGCAGTTAGAACAGTGTTCATGATCAAGGTTATATAGCACGTTCAATGATAGCTAAAAAGAAAACAAACAAACAAACAAACAAGTAAATAAAGAAAAACTTCTCAAGGACAACAGTTGTATTTCATCAAGGTTATAAAATGCATAGAAGGACACAAAACAGGTCTACCATTTTATACATTACCTTTTTTTGTTTTTAAGTTAGAGTTTGCTGTTTTATTGTGAGACACCACAATTGCACAAATAATTTTTTCCAGAGATGCACAGTTCAGTGATGCTAAGATAACCAAAACCTCTTTAATTAGATTATTACTAATAATTATTGTTTATTAAATTTATATATCCATAGATCTCAGAGCAGTTCATAACATAAAATTACAATATAAAAACCACAAAATATATAATAAAAATGAGAACAAAAGAAAAGAAAAATCCCCCCTCCCACAACACAACAGAATGGCATCAGAAGTCAATCAACCAAAGGTCTGATTGAAGAGGAACCTTTTTGCCTGGTACCTAAAGGTGTATAATGAAGGCGCCAGCCAAACCGCCCTGGGAGAGCTTCATTAACTGGCCCTGCGGCCAAATTTGCTTCCCTTTTATGCTTTGCATGTTGATTGCAGCTTCTGGGCTTGATGAGGCATCTCATCTCCTCCCCAAGCTAGGGAGCCCCACCTGGGCTGTTGAGTCCTGGCCTCCTTAGCCTCTGTGATATTTGTGACAAATATGTAAACTGAGTGACAAAGCAGGGTGCAGATAAATTGGTCAGGCCTAATTGTTTATGTGTTAGGGAACGTCACAGTGACCTAAAGATCAAATGAGCAATCGCGATGCCATTATAGAATGGTATGTGCTCATATTGGGGTCTACTTAACAAGCATCCTTAACAAGACATATAGTTGAATATATATGCGAGGGATGAAGAAATTGTTGTCCTCCAAATGTTGTTGGAGTATAACTCCATGCTAGTTGGGGTCCTGTAAATCTGGGGTCGGGGGGCAAAAATTCGTCTTCCCTATAGCTGCATGCAACTGCTCCTAAATCCCAGAACTAGTAATGGAGCACCAGGAAAATTGTAATACATAGAAATAGAAAGCCAAGTCTTGTTTCAGTTTCATCTAAGCCTTAGCATACTGTGGGTATTCTTTTTGGACCATGAATCCAAACATCTGCCAACGAATATTGGCATGTTTCAAAACATTGTTAATATAGTAATCCCTAATGTTCAATTTGTTTGTTTGTGCCACTGAGTTCTTTACAAATGTTTGCAAGTTTGCTACGGGACCAGAAAGATGCTTTCTCAACCCATTGTTTGTTTAGCTAATAAGTACTTGATTTTGCTGGTGTATTTTGACCAAGGGAAGTTTCTAATCTTATTTATTTAAGCTGCAGACCTATACAAAATTAATCTGGGAATAAGAACCATTGACCTTGATGTGAGTTACTTCTGAGGAGAAATGTATAGGGGAATTGTTCCAATGGATAAAGAGATTTTGCTATCCTTTAACTTCTAATGTACCGTAAATAAACAGTTAGAAGATTTTGAGAAGGCCTTTAGGAGTTTTGCCTCTGGACAGCTATGTGTGAAAGCTTCTGTTCTTGGTATTGATAGCACCTGGTGTTGTCTTCTTTTTAATGTACATTGAGTTTTGTATAAGGTTTTGAAAATCTATGCTGTTGTGATAATTAAACTTTTAGAAAGCTGAAATCAATGATGCATGTTATGAGTGCCTAGCCTTGGTTGGATTATTGTTTATTGTTTTTAGGGTCCCTGTGGAACATCTACCAGCTGTTGGATCCACAATTTTATTTTCGGTATCAAGAGCTTGGAATATGTCTTTGATAGCTTTATTTAGGCCCTCACAACAATGAAGGTGGTGAATTGAAATACTTTTTTTTTTAAAAAGTGCCAAATTTTCATTTTTAAAAGGAGTATATGTGAATTGCAAACTAACAGCAGACTATTCAGAGCATAATTAGTAGCTTACAAAGAAGAGCTTTAGTGTTAAGCCAGCTAAAGCGTTAAGCTTCTGAATATTGTTCTGTGCATGTCATATTTCTGCGCACAACTGGCCAAAAAGAATATAAAGAAAAGGTTTAATGCTTTTCATGGTGGCAGGGTAAATGCCTTTTATTAGGATGATTTCTGACCATTTACTAGGATGGTTTCTGGACATATCAATCATGGAGTGTCATTTAGCTACTATATGGAATCCATTCATTTCTGCAGTTCAGTGAGCAAAGCATTGCTTTTAGTTCAACACAACTGAATAGTCAGATATCAGAATGAAATGCAGTATGTACATGTAGTGAACAAGTCTGTATTTAAACCCCAGCTTAGATTCCCTTATCTGATTTCAAATTTGTTTGGGGGCATGGGACTGCAGCATCTCCTATGAAGACTGATTCACAGTAGCAGTTGGTGGGGCAGGGCACTGGCAAGGTCAGTGCAGTACAAACATATGTGGGGGAAGCATGGGGTGTGGGGAGAGAATGCAAATAAATTGAAAGCTACTATGAACTGCCAAAGCACAGTGGTCTGTACAAAAAAAATCAGAAATAAAAAAAGCAATAATGGAGGATTCCTATCACATCAGATTCACTTTGGAAAGAAGACGTGGCAATTTGGGACTTTAAAGCTCCTAATAGGCAGGATTCCTGATTGCAAAGAGGCTCATAAGTGCTCAGTCAAATGTTCTTAGAAGCCCCTTCAGACATTCCTGCTCAAGCGGGGAACATTGGGTTGGCCTTTTGAATGCATGAATAGGACCTGTGATGTCAAGACAAATGAACCAATGGCAGCCAAGGCACTAGAAGGGAGGTTTGATGACCCTCACAACTTGTGGCACAAATGGGCTTTTCGCTAACATGAATATGACAGGAAGAACATTTAAGAAAATGACAAGTAGAGAGCAGTTTTTTTAAAAAAGAAAAAGATACTGCTTTTGCATTTTTTGGGACTCCTGGCAAAGAATGCCATTTCTTATATTCAGGCATTTTTAAAAAATATATCTAAGGCTAGCACAATTTTGCTATCATCTATCAAGAACAATGTGAATAAAATGAGAAATATGATGAATGCATTTTTAACACTGTGAAATGAATATGTCAAGGTAGATGGACAACTCCATATTTTTGGTGTGCATGATGAGGTCAAGTTATGAATGATAGATAATTTTGAGGAAATTGGATCATATTTGTCCCATTGTTGATGCCAGCACAAGGGAAATCTAGATTTTGGCAAGAGTTATTTTCTGCTTAGCTTGACCTGCAAAAGTTCATGAATTAATTTTTGATCTGGTTGTCAGACAGAAGAATGGTTTAGTATTTAGTATGTGGGTGGGAAACTAAACAGAAGCAGCTGTATGCCATGCATATGACACGTGCTCAACTTTTCTAGATATTGGGCTCGATCTTTCTAACCACCACTTTTTCAATTTCAATTAGCCAATAAAATTTCCTTCCAGTGAAAATAACACCTAGGTCTGAACTTTATTAATGGAAAGTAAGCCCCATTCAGATCAGATAATGCTAAGGTTTTCAACCAAATTACTATGGTTTAACTGTTGATTTCAAAACACTAGGGATGGGCAAGTTGTCTGTTCCTTCCCTCATTTTTCCAGTCTTAAATTAAGTTTTCTGTATTCCAAAATGGGTTTTCAATTTCAGAAAAAAATCAAGTCCTCATGAAAATTCATCAGCACTTTAGCACAAATTTCTTCTAATATTCACACCTTTGTATACAACATTACCTGATTTACACATTTCTTCAAAGCAAACTTCCTTATATAATGCAGTTTTGTGCATTCTTTTCACTAATATATGTAATTTAAGGTACTCTTTACCCTAGTATGTGCAGTTTTGTATACATTACTTCTCATATTTGCCCATGTGGTATGAAATCAAACAGTATAAGCAAAGAAAACATTGTCACCTGATGACATGGTGGCATTAGATGGTTGGCAGGTGGGTAGTCTCACCCACCCGAGTGGCCTGTAGGGGTTGGGAGAGGTCAGGAGCCAGCCTGCCAGCCAAATCCAGTTCTCCACCCCCAGTTGAAGAGGTATGTGGCAGGAGTCATATGTGACAGAATTGGCATGGTATATGCAGGAGCCATTGTTTGCCTGATAAAATCCTGGTCTTTATAAGGAATTGGCACTTTATAGACTACAGTGGTACCTCAGGTTAAGTATTTAATTCATTCCAGAGGTCCGTACTTAACATGAAACTGTTCCTAACCTGAAGCACCACTTTAGCTAATAGGGCCTCCTGCTGCTGCTGCCATGCTGCTGGAGCCCGATTTCTGTTCTCATCCTGAAGCAAAGTTCTTAACCTGAAGCACTATTTCTGGGTTAGCGGAGTCTGTAACCTGAAGCGTATGTAACCTGAAGCGTATGTAACCTGAGGTACCACTGTACAGGCAACTCCCCCTTTACACGCATTCAAGGCACAGGTAACTGCACGAGCGCATTATCATGAACCCAGAAGTGGCACGAAAAGGGCCCTAAAAGAGCATGAAGGTGGCAAAAATGGCATGAAAGTTGTGTCTAGCAATCTCATGAGCCTTTGCACTGACCTCTGAGACCTATGGAGAATTGGAGCTTTGAGAAGGAGATTTGGAGGAAGCGATTGTGGTGGAGTTTGGTAGATTTTGGGGTTTTTTAAAATGGTTTTTCAAGGGTTTGCAGAGGTTTAGAGGGCATTTGCAGGCTTTTTCAATGATGTTCCCAATATACATGAGTTCACCTAAATGTGTGGTGCCTCGGAACATAACTCCTGTGCAAATGGAGAGTTGTCTGTACTTCGATAATGCACAAAATACATATTTCAAAGCGTTTCTTGGGCATAATTATGTTTTAATCAAATACTCAGATTTTGATTTCCTAACACAGTACCCTAATATACGAATATAAATGGTTTTTAATAAAAACATACCTGTGCACAATATTAATCCATATAATTTAATACTTAACAGCTGAGTGTTTATATATATATTAGTTTGATGATTTAATCTTTTCTTATAAGAAAATTATAAGAATTAAGACCTTGATATATTTCAGACAGTTTGTTGCGGGTGGGCGGGCTTGTGGTGGGTGCCTTTGAATTTCTGAGTTATTTAGAAAAAGGAAGGGCTAAACTTAGGATGTTTCCAGATTTTTATCAGAATTTCCCCCCTCTTTACTTCAGAGAAAATGCTGTGACTACACAAGTGTTAAGAATACAAATGAGGGTTTACGTCCAAGCAGCTGTATAACACTCAAGCTTTGGTAGAGAGAAAAATTGAACTTCACCAGATTTTGCTGCCCTTTTGCTCACAAACATTTGTGCCTTTAATGGGGAGGGAAAACAAGTTGAGACCAGGCTCTATTTATCTTGGGGAAACTTCCCCACCTGAGTTTCAAATGTATGATTCCTTAAGGATACTCCAGTGCTGAACTGCAACATCACTCAACGTCAGCCCGTGCTTATCTCTCTTTATTTCATTATTCATCAAATGTGACTGTGATCTGGCAGGCTTTCAGAGTTCAAATGCAGGGTTAAACAGAATGGTAGCGTTAGAGGTAGACAGAAGCAAACATTTCCATCATCTTGGCATGGCTGGGCATGCTGAATGGGAGAGAGGGAGAGTGGTAAAAATAACTTTACATCTGACAGTCATGTGTGTGTAAAAGATCTGTACAATATATCCAGTTATTCTGAATTCCAAGACCTGAGCATTGTTACAGTCATTCTTCAATAACACAGTTCCTGAGTTCAGCAAAGAACACAGAACTATATGATACAGCTTGTCATTTACCAAATGTTTACACACGATTTTTTATGCTAGAAGCAGTAGAGCAACATGTTATATGTGGGGCCACCTCTGAAGATAGTTCAGAAACTTCTGCTAGTGCAGAATTCAGCAGCCAGGTTGCTCACTAGGTCAAGACAGTTTGAATATGTTACACTGATCCTGGTCCAACGGCATTGGATTTCCCACTGGGACCAAGAGAAGGGCCTCCTCCAAAGATCTCAAAAGCCGGACAGGTTTGTATGAGGGATTGCAGTCTTTCAAATAGTTTGGACCTAAGCTGTGTAATAGTTTGGGTGAAGACTCTATCTGGACAAGCCAGAGGTGCTATTGCTGCATGGTTCATCTAGCCATGGGAGGTAGTGTTCAGCCTTTCTCCAGTGTGGCCACAATCACTCTGAAGGTTCAGGTTAATAGTTGTGGGTAGTATGGGACTTTGATATGAAACTGGTTACTGGAGGCTTAAGTCGCCTTGGTGGAACAAAACATCCTTCTCCACATGAAGCTGCTCTACCAGTAACAGCCCCTCCTAGACAGAGACTGAATAGAAACTATTTACCCTATTTTTGAGGAAAGCATCTATGTGTAAGTACTGTTGCTTTTATCTTGTAGTATAATCACCACCATGCCATGATATGTCTACGTAAGAATTTGAGAGCCTTGTTCCGTCCTTTAGTTTTAAAAAGCATGCATCAGGCAGTTCAGCAATCAGCAAGGGTGTGTTTAAACTGGTAACCTAAATGCATTTGAGGTCTCTGAGCTCATTAATGGCATCTTGAGGCCATTTTGCCCTGTGTCCTTCCCACCCCCTTTTTAAATCATGTGTTAATACCATGTCTGAAATTGCTGAGTACTTGGTGCTCTTCCTATATTTCCAGACAATTAATAGCTCTAATTATTAGCCATCAGACGGCAGCTGCAAATGAATATTGTTGACGGATGACAAGGATATTTGTCTTCTTGTATCAAGCAGGACACATTTTATTACCCAAGTCACACAGCATGCAATCAACTAGGCTTACAACTCCCCAGATAAAGGGCAGCCTGCCTTTCAGCAGGGTTTTCATTAGCATGCCATTCTAAAGGGAAGTTTTAGCTATAAGAAAATTCAATGCATCAGAAATCCATGTGTATATTAAATTACCTGATCCCCACCCAGCAGCTTCTGGCGTGTGAACTATTTGGGCTAGGCTTTTTCGTTAGTTTTAAGGGGGTGGGTGAAAAACAGTCCCTGAAGATTGGGATGATCTTCAGGGGCTTGCCAGCATTGAAGTGGTGGCAAAGTTTACACACACACACACACACACACACACACACAGTGAGAGACCAGTATTTTTCAGCTTCATCCACCCCAGAAGATTAATCCAAATTTTGGGGGTGCTTTTGTCCTCACCTCCTGACATTGCTGCAAAAATCTGAGCCAAAGTATTCAGTCCATGGCAATGCAGAGAACTCAGAAGTGAGTATGCGGAATTAGGAACCATAACAATAATAGCTAACCAATCAGTGCATGATTTCAAACCCTAATCGGGGGTGAGGGGGAGGACTTGGATTGCAGAAATATCAGGAGAATCCCCAGTGCAAATCTCACTCCTAGCTTTTCCATCTCAATCTGCCACCCTTATCTAATTTGAGGAGATTTTTCTCTTTCTCGATTTAGTAGTATAAGAAATTTAAGTATAAATAAATAACATAAAATGTTGCAGTGCTTCTCAAATCAAAGCTTCTATGTGCTTGTCGTTATTGTGGGTGGGATGGGGAACCCAAACACTGCTACTTTGAATGGGAAGTAATATCAAGCCTCTGCTCCATGGTCTTTCTATTGGAACTAAACTAAGTATTTGCCAGATAATCAGAGTCACATAGACAATCCCAGAAGAGCATTTTGTTCTCATTCCATGAGCGTAACTGATACCATCATTCTCAAATGTCAATATAGTATAACTTGGACCTGCCAAAAGCTGAGATACTCACTCTCTGCCTAGAGGGACTTGGAGGAAAGTTCAGCAAGGAGACTATTGGGAGTCTCTAACAATTTGTTATCAAGAGCATTGAAGTGAAGCTCCAAATGGTCTCTGACTTCCCATGCTGCTTGCTCCAGTGACAAGAGCAACAAAGCGGTCGTTTTCAATTACCATTGGACTTTAAAACATAAACTGTATTACTCCACTGTCAGCTGCTCAGAAACCTGGAAAAGAAAATAGCCTGCATTTTTGTTAAATTGCTTTCTTAAATCAAAGGATGAGCTTTTCCTCCCTTTTTTGCGCTGACAAAATAAGGTCATTTAAATAGTATAGAAAGGTGGTGTGTTAGAATAATAATAATAATAATTGTTCCCTATTATGCTAAATGTGAATGTTAATCCCTTCGGCAATATTTTAATAACTTGTAGGGAAATGTTGGATTCCAAATTACTGAACACTTCTCAAGGAGAATCTGTGAGAACTGTGGCCCTAACCCAGAGGCAGATACACACTGAAATCAGTGTGCGAAGTTAGTTGCAACTAACTTTATTTCAATGTCTTTCAATAGGACTCGGCATTACTGTAGTACGTATTTTTGTGTTTGTGTAAACTGCTGTGTGATTCTTGGATGAAGGGCAGTATAGAAATTTAATACATCCATCCATCCATGAATGGAATGGGGGGACGGGGACTCAAAGGAAGCTTTCCAACACTTTACTGGTGACCATAAAGCCTTGTAGAACACATCATGGTAATATTAACATCTTGGTATCACAATATTTATTGCTCAGAAAATTAGCTTGAGTACTATGGTATTGAGACAGTGATGTGGCATTCTTCTTGTCCTACAGCGATGTTTTTCAAATATCATTAAACATGCATAAAACCCACCAATTCACTGCACATTAAATGTATTACAACCTTTGACTATTCAGAGCATTTCTCGATCTCATTGGCAACTAAGCTCCTACCTCATGAGCATTGGTATCAGAGGAGCAAATATGGCAGGGGCTGCAAAAACAAACCTAAGTACCAATGATGGTGTGATGTTAGTTTATTTTCCTCTTGATTTAAACCCTAATCTGCTCTTGAGGGTAGATAAACATCAGAGATCTGTGCTTCAGCTCAAAATCTTATTAAACAGTATTGCTGCTTGCAAATATTCACTGCAGGAACCCAAAACCACATTAAAGTTTTTGTTGGTGTGCGAATGATCTGAGAGATTATTAGGTATTTATGTAATCTTATTTCAGCTGCAGAGTCAAATTATGTATCACTTTGGGGTAGAGCTGGGGTGAGAGCAACCTATGGAGAAGCCCAACATTTTCCAGATCTACACAACTGAGAGTCCTACATCCAAATCTGATCTTCATCCTGGACCTCTGTTTCCTGGTGCCCTTTTCATGGGATCAGGCCATAAATTATAAAGACAACAGGAGACCCATGGCGTCGGAGTCATTTGCTAATCATCCCTGACCATTGGCCGTATTGACAAGGGGTTATGGGAGTTGGAGTCCAACAATTTCTGGACAGCCACAGGCTCCCCATTCCTGCAGTAGAAAATGGGAAACTATGGTTTATTCAACAGGGAAAGCTTTCGGTCTTCTCCTCTCATGCATGCAGATGGAGAAGAGGATCGGGGGGTGCACTCACCCAAGCTTGCTGCAGCTTGTTCCCACCCACCCAAACCATGGGTTATATCAATGGTCCCTAGCCCTTTGGGGACAAGGGGTGCATTTGGAAGTGGAATAAACTGTTGTGGGAATCACAAAATAGCAATTTCACACAAGACAAATGGGTGAAGCTCCCCTCCCTCTCCCAAAAACCAGGAAAAGCACCTACATATGCTACACACACCCCTAAAACAGGCAAAACACCTAGATACATACACAGCCACCCACCAGTAAAAGACAGACAATAAAGCAGGCAGCACACCCTCAAAAACACAAATTGGGAGGGGTGGCAGGCCTTTAGTGTGCCCCAAATGGATTCGGAAGCTGCTGTGGTGCCCAGAAGTGCCACATTGGGCACCCCAGGGTTAGTTCAGTGATAAATGGAAATAATTTTGTTCTCTTAAATGCTTTAGAAATGTTATTGTAAAATGTTTTAGCATCCTATTGATAAATATAAAGGACTGCTTTGCCAGTGATTTGGGGAGAGTTTAATAAAGAGTTACTGGCATTTGCTCACAAATTCCTAAAGAATTCTTTCCAGAGTCATTTGTGATAAGATTCTGGAGTGAATGAAAAGGTCCAGCTTAGGCATAGACAGTTATTAAGCTGCTTATTATAATCCTCTCTAAATATTTTAAATTATGTATATTTGCATGTGAAAGTTGTTGCGTAATCATTTGAGTCATTGCTGAATTCATCTTAATTTGTTTTTAGCTAGTTAAAATCTTTCTGGAGAAGCACCACCTCTTCTTGAATTGCCTTAGGATTTTACAGATGGAGAGAAACCCCTTAGGTGAATGATGCTTTGTTGGGAACTGATAGGATTTCTAAGTCTCTTGACCCAGTATAAAATTGCTGCCATTGGAGACAAAAGAGAAGCAATTACCTACTTTTACAATTCCAACACGGAGCATTTTTACAAGACATACATACTTTATGTGCATACATTTAGCAGGATATGTGGGAAAGCAGAAGGCTTTTTGTCAATGACATTGAAATATTGATATAAATATTCCCCAGCCTTACAGCTTGTTATACCAATGAATATGTGCTTAAATAGGATTAGGGCTGTCTAATGGCAGGGGCAACCCAGTCAAATGGGTGGAGTGCAAATAATAAAATTCTTGTTGTTGCTGCTGCTGTTAATCCAGACCATGCTATCAGGCTTGTGCTGCAAGTGCATTAGGCTTGCATGTGTATATGGCTACTACTACACCTTCTGGGTGTTTGTCTGTACTCCTCTGGTTTTGCCTCAAAGGGCCACAGTTCAGTACAAGAGCATATACAGTGGTACCTCGGGTTAAGTACTTAATTCGTTCTGGAGGTCTGTTCTTAACCTGAAACTGTTCTTAACCTGAAGCACCACTTTAGCTAATGGGGCCTCCTGCTGCCGCTGCACCACCGCTGCACGATTTCTGTTCTCATCCTGAAGCAAAGTTCTTAACCCGAGGTAATATTTTTGGGTTAGCGGAGTATGTAACCTGAAGCGTATGTAACCCGAGGTACCACTGTACTTTGTATGCAAATGTTTCTGGTTCAATGTTTGGCACCTATGGGTAGGACTGAAAATGGCTTCTCTCTGAAACCCAGGGGCTACTTCCAGTTTCTGTAGACCAGTTGTACCTAACCTGTAGCCCTCTCAGATTTTGCTAAGCTACAACTCCCATCTTCCCCAGCCTGCCTGGCCATTAATCAGGGAACAATGGAAGTTGTAGTTTGGCAACATCTGAGAGGGCCACAGTGTAGACAGCACTGGATCAGATGGACTAATGATTTGATATAAGGTAGTTCCCTGTGTTCCTAATCTCAGGCAAATAACAAAAGTGAGGAAAGCGGCAGTGAAGGGGGGAAGATTTATCAACCTTGCCCTACCTTACTGATGTACTGTGCTCAGTTTGGTATCTCCCAAACTGTTAGAATAGCCAGCTTTTGAAATATTGGATTTGGGTGGGGTAGCAGAGCCCAGAGAGTGAGTGAGCGTGGACACTAGCTGTTTTTGGAGGGAGAGCTCAGGGGAAAACAAGTACCTATTTACCCTAAACCAGGGGTCAGCAAACTAAGGCCCGGGGGCTGGATGTGGCCCCCATGCTAGTAAAAGCGGACCCTGCCACCCGCTTGGTCAGTCCCTGCGTGCTGCGGATGCCTCGCTGCACAGGGACTGACTTCCACGATGCTGGCACAGCTTCTGGGCGGGGGGCGAAGCTGGCGTGGCTTCGGATTGGCTGCAGGAAGCTCCTGCGTGCTGCCTGCCTGGTGCTTCGTGTGCGCATTCTGCCCGCTGACCTGGCCTCAGCCGGCGGGCCGCAGCACATGGTGCATGCCATCTGGGAGATCTGCGGGGACGGGCCCATGGAGCAGCTGCTGCTCATCAACAATGCCGGTGAGTGGGTGGCGCCAAGACGTGCTCCTGAGTGCGTGCAGAGTGCATTCCTCCTCCAGGTCCAGAGGCAGCTGCAAGACCGGCTTGCAGGGTATTCATCAGCCCCCTGATGAAAAGGTTTGCTGACCTGACCCCTGCCCTAAACTATATATACTTTAAAAAATCTGCTTCAGCTCCTTGTTTTTCTGACAACCCTAAACACTCAGCAGGCCCATTGAGCTTGTGGGGAAAGATAGCAATTAATGATGATAATGATCAATAGCGACATTTTACACACACACACACACACAGAGAGAGAGAGAGAGAGAGAGAGAGAGAACACATTAATTTTGCTATGGTATTAAGGCTGTGCTGAAGAGTAGTATATACATATTTTAAGTAAAAATTAAATATTTATTATATTATTTATTAACAATATTTATATACTGCTCAGGAGATGCATAATAAGAATACAGGTCCAGGGCTGTCATACACTGTCAACAACAGCATTAACAATAATCTCAAACCTTATGGTGGGAGAATCTAATGGTATACCCTAACCTGTATTCAGCAAGGAAGTAAAACCTTTGAAGAGCTGCTTTCTCTTCATGATAGAGGTAGGTCCACAAACCAGTTGAAATAACAGGCATAAAGCTGGAATAATTTGAAAGTTCTTTCATATATCAGATCCAGCTGTTTTATCTTAGTTTGTTAACTAACTTTAAACCAGAGTTTCTGGTTTAGGCATAATGGGCAGTTCTGGTTCAATGCAAGAAAGCATCTCTGGGTGAAGGCAGAGCATGCAGTCAGAATGTTTGTCCTTGACTTTTATGAAGCTGGGGATAAACATCTAAATGACTGCCTCTGGCTAGAGGACAACCTTACAAAAAAACAGGGCCTGCTCTCTATTTTTTTTTTAACAACGGGTATCAAAGAGATTACCGAAACCAGTGCTGCCTGTCAAGCAAGCCACTTAATGACTATTCTCTCCAGATGACCAAGCAACTGTGATCCAAGTCTCTTTGAATTTCTTTTATTGATGTCCCTCTCCAGTGAAAACATAAAAAATGAGCCCCTACTAATTGTATATGAAATTATTCATCTGTTTTGCTTTAATGCTATTCCAGTCCTACAGTATTAATTCCCTTTTAGTTGGTGATTTGTGTTGGACATACAACCGAAACTTAACAGGATTCTTATATTGGAGAGAAGATAAGAATATCTTGTTTATTGAATACAGTTCTTAAACTCAAGGAGTGCGCTCTCTCTCTCTCTCTCTCTCACACACACACACACACACACACACAACCTTAGCACACAAGCATACACATTAACTGTGGGATAACTTCATATAACCAACATGCTTAAGTCTAATTGATGCATGAAGGGGTTAATACCATAGAATAAGCAGTCCTGCCAGGCTTAGTGAGATCACTTCTCCTTACCATGGGAGGAAATGGTTAATCAAGCCTATTGTTCAACCCCCAGTCTACCAGAGAAGCTCAGCATTTGAGGAGCTCTGAGCTGATTGCTGCAGTTCAGAATACATGGCTCTTACAAGCCACTCTTGATTTCCTAATTTAGGAACTTTCAGCACTTTGGAACTAAACTTAGTTTACTGCCTGTGCAACTTTTTCTGAATGCTGTAGGAAAATCACTTGAATTCAGCCTTTGGATAGCTTGTAAGTAAACCTTTTTTTGCGTGCCAAACTGTGTGTTTTTTTCTATGCTGGGGGAAGAGGAGAACTTTGGAAGAAACTAACAAGGGCATATTTTAAGGGTCTAACAGCCTATATTTTAATGCTTTACTTGCTGCATATTTGGTTATTTTAAATCTCTGCTGGGGTTCTCTCACCAAAGAGTACTTGCCCCAAACTTGGATCTTTGCATCTAGGAATTCTTTTATATCTATATTTTTCCTTGAACCAACATAAACAAACTCATACATGAACAGCATTGGCTACAGGGGTATTGTTGCAAGGGACAGGTGCTCTGACTAGGAGATGGCTAGGAGCTTAGAGTGACAAAGAGAAGGCAAAAAGTAGGAGTGTGGCTGTGGCATCAGGTGTGTTAAGCTGCTTCGGGTGGATGCTTGATTATAAGAGGCTTGTCATGTTTTCAGAGGAAGAACATACATGAGCACTTGAAATAGAAAGAACATACCTGAGTACATACCTCATAAAACATCTGTTTTGCAACTTGCATTGTTTTTATTGTACTTATGGTTTTACATTAATTGCAATTAAGATTTTTTTTAGAAAAATGAAACACATCTAACATTAAAATATGTAACATTTGCCAACTATGTATCATATTAGTTGTTCATAAGTAGTCCAATTTTACATCAGAGAAAGAACATTAAGCCTAGTGCTGTTCTGAAAATTTCTGCATTTTTTTACCATTCTCCAGTGAAAATTATTAAAGACAAGAGAGAAATTCATTGAGAATTTCATGGTTGGGGTACAGTGGTACCTCGGGTTACAGACGCTTCAGGTTACAGACGCTTCAGGTTACAGACTCCGCTAACCCAGAAATAGTACCTTGGGTTAAGAACTTTGCTTCAGGATGAGAACAGAAATCATGCAGCAGTGGTGCAGCGGGAGACCACATTAGTTAAAGTGGTGCTTCAAGTTAAGAACAGTTTCAGGTTAAGAACAGACCTCCAGAATAAATTGAGTTCTTAACCCGAGGTACCATTGTACATTGTTTTTGGTGCACTTTTACTTGACTTTTGAGGTGGCCCACAAGTGTTTGCGGATGTTCTTTCATTCATTCTACAAATCACCACTCTTGTAGCCCTCCCAGTTGCTCATGCAATCAAGCCCAGGGGAGGACATCATGAGTTAATTCCTCCCATAGGGCTTTTTCAGATCAGGAGCATGAGCAGCTGGGAAGGCTGCAGAATGCTAGAGACAGGTTTACCAGAAGAAAAAAACACACACACCACCCTTGGTCACCTCACAATAATAAGTTATGCTCAAAACCTCAAACTGACTGAAATTCTAAAGAAATTCTCAAGTGCTATGAGAATGAGAAAAAAAAAGGGGAATACGTTTTACAGAGGAAGAAAACTTTCAAGAAACTGGAGGATAGGCACAGCACTAATTCACATTGTATGGCACCTAATTGTGGATTTTGTAGAACAAATCCTGTCATTCACAGTAGTTGAATATCTGACTCACTTCAGAAGGGTGAGCTAAAGTTACAACTGTCCAACCTACTGATCAAAATTAACATAGATACTATGGATTTTTACCCTTCTTTTCTAAGTATCTCTCACAGGGCAAAGGTCAGTGGCAATGAACAATGGGGAAAAGGTCTGCAGAAAACCTGGTACTCCCACTGGTTCAAATCTCTCAGAAATTCTGTAGACTATTGGCACCACCAAGTCTCCTAAGTAACCCAAACAATTACGATATCAATAGACTATAGTTTTTCAAGAAGTCAAAAATGGACTTCCCATTTTTTTGAGAATGAACATCTGTACCTCCACAAAACCTCACAGCAAGCAGGTCATCAGCAAAGAGGAAAATCTCTTCAGCTGAAGACTTTACTAATGGCCCAATCTCTGAAGCAAGGGACATGGAGGGTAAAGGTCTTGGAAACTTAGACGCTGGAGCAACTCTGCAATAGCATGTTAGAAGGATCTGACAAAGACTCTGTTCTTGGCTTCATAAAGGTTCCTTGGGCCACACAGTGACCTTCCTTTCCCATTCATAACAGGCATGGAGGAAGTGCTTGTCCATAATTCTTACTTCAAGGACATTCACTGAATAATGTAGTGGTTTTCAACCAGTGTACCGTGGCACCCTGGGGTGCTTTGAATGATGGTCAGGGTTACTGCAGGCAACACTGGCCTCTGTCCCACTTTCCTTTCCTCCCTCCTCTGATACCATCTTGCCCCTCTGCTTCTCAAAAGCTTGCACGGCTGTTTGTTGCAGCAATCCTGGCTACAAGCTTCCCTGGTGAATGGTGCCTCTGGGGCTGGCCAGGGGGTGCTGGTTGCCAGGAGCTGAGGCGACCGTGGAAAGAGGAGAGGAGGCTGAGTGAACACTCCACAAGGGAGGATGTTTGAAAAGGGATGAGGGGCTGCCGGCTTTGCAGGCAAGGGGGTGACATAACTGGGCTTCTGAAGTTTGGAGTACGTTTCCCCACAGGGGAGCCACAGAAAGAATGTAGCTGGTCAAGGGAGCTGTGGACTCAAAAAGGTTGAAAATGTCTGGAATAATGTATTCTTAAGTTGGTATGACAAAAATGATTGTGTCATGGGTGACATACATCACCCAAGTCTGCCCAGAAAGAAATTCCATCAAGTACAATGGGATTTACTCCCAGGAAAGTGTGTATAGGATTGCTTTACACATTTCAGTTTGTTTTGAAAATCATTCTGAATATGTGACCGGGACTTCGTTTTCCCATTATTTTGGACCACACTGTTGGAACTGTAGTTATCAGATTACAAGCATTGCTTTTATTCCCTAGAGCCCCATCAGGGTGAAGGGGTTGGTAGCAACAACATCATAGCAATGCAAAAATGTGCCCTTGCAGCCTAACCCACTAGGTGATTTATTTATTTTTAATTTGGAAGTGACTACCACTGGGTTCAATTGGGCTTGCTTGAGAGTAAGGGAGCAATCCTATACACACTTTCCTGGGAGTAAATCCCATTGTACTTGATGGAATTTCCTTCTGGGCAGACTTGGGTGATGCATGTCTGTTTAAGAGTACACGGTACAGAATTACACTGTTACATTTCAAACAGCTGGTTTGCTTTCAGGTGCTAGTCACTACTTAACCGTGACTCTGAAATATCTGACAGAATATCATGGGCTGTTTCTTACACTGACACTTTTACACTAAAGTTTATTTTCTCAGCCTTATGCACATTTCACCTACTGTTTATTACAGTGTTTTCTCTATCAGTGCAAAGAAAAAACAAACAAAGAACCTAAAACCAATAACTATGAAGGCACAATTTTAAAGATACATGCTGATATACAGGAAAAAAGGAGGAAGGGAGAGAAATTATAATCTAGTTGTGTATTGATTCTGTAAACATTTGCAAAGAACGCCAAAATGCATGGATGTTTCAGCAGTGCAATTTGGGATGAAAAACTGGATCTGTCGGGATCCAAGTTTTGCACAATATGTTATTGGGAAAGTGCACCCAGGGCATCCATTTTCTATACAAATAGTTATTTTTAATACTCTATTTCCTTGAATTATAGTGGACTTTACTTTTCCCACAGAGAGCACTAAGCTAGCATAACAATGAAAGTCATTGTGGTTTATTTACTGGCTGATACTAGGCGCTCCGCTTCCTCAGAGGGAATTTGCATTTCAATGTTTTTTGTTGCAATTGTTTTAATAACTGGCAATACTTATCCCACAGCAATTTCACTGGTGTGTAGAAAAGATTGGGAGATGGGTTCCCCCATACAGACAGCACATGGACATGTCAGAATCATGTTGCTGTTCTGATGCATTTGTTTGGGGCAAGTCGCATAAGCACTGAGGCACAGAAATTTCAGCATGAATCTCTAAAAACAACTTGAACATTGTGGAATAGGTCACACACTGGTGTCAGCTCTTAAGGCAGGGGGAAAGTGACAGTGTTCATCTAATGGTGTTTAACAGAAAGCAAACTCTGCCTGTACATCTTTAGGAGCAGACCAGTTGCCCTAGCATAACCTATGCACTGTCATATGGCTACATGAAAGGATAGGAGAAGAAACAGATGTCAAAAGACAATTTTATTATGAGCAATATGAACACCTGTACAAAATACAGTTGTGTAGCCTAATAAATGTTGGCTTATTTTTCCAGTATTTTCAGTCTAGTGCCAGATAAATACACAGAACAGAGCTTTGCTGTTACCTGTATTTTGTATTACATTACACCAGGGAATTAAATTAAATCAGGGAAGAGCATGGAGTTATCTCTGTATGTGGACAGCTAGTTTTGATTGTCTGTTGTGGCTTGAGTCAAGAACAGTGCAAGAGCTAAAAGGAATTTGGGGGCAAAAAATTCTCAATCAAATTCTCCTAGCCTGAGTTTTCTTGCTGAAATTTAATTCTGTCATGCTCCCCACAACACATTCTCAGTGATGTATTGCTGATATAATTAAAAGGTATTTTATTAGAAATGAATGTTTTAAAGGAGAGTTGGTAGATCCATCACACCACTACAGTTCAAATTTAAAAATATATAACTCTTGAGGTTGAGTTTCAAAAAGGAATTGTGAAAATGTGAAAATGTTTGCAATTCTATGTGTCAGATTATTTCTGAAACTTTGCTGAATTTTGAATGCATTTGAAATTTCTTTGGGGCTCTAAGGATCAGTAAATAACTTTGCAGTCAGTTCTCTTGTAACACTTTCTTCTCATTGTGCATTTGACTTAACACAGAGAGAGGAAAGCTACAACCCAATAGTTTCACCATATCACATTTTTTAGTACAGCAGGATAAAATGAGTTAGGACTTCAGGTACTGTCTCTGTAGTTCTATTGCTTGGGTTTCCCCTATCTCCTCAAAAGTTTATCTAAACGGGATGGGGCAGGAATCCATTATAAATGGATTTCTACATGGAGTATAGCATTTCCAACTTGTTCAAGCTTTGTCTCCTTTTGTATTCAAGACCTCTTATGTCCAGGCCACTTATGTGGTATTGCTGTTTTGATGTTAAAGCCTGACTATATGCCAACCCTCCCCATATATGTATAATATGTATAAAACAGTCAAGCTCCATGCAGTACTATATTCCTGCATCAAAATTTTAAGGAGATGTCTGCTGTTGTGGTTTCCAGAGGATTAAGTGGTTTATTGGTTTCTGTGATCATCCTACCTCTGATACACAGGCTTTTTTCTTTCTTTCTTTCTTCTTACATGGTTCACAAACCAGGATATCCCTTTCCACCACTCCAGAGGGCCTTCTGGCAGTTCCCTCACTGCGAGAAGTGAGGTTACAGGGAACCAGGCAGAGGGCCTTCTTGGTAGTGGTGCCCACCCTGTAGAACTGCAGAGTTGGAAGGGACCCCGGCAGCAATCTAGTCCAACCCCTGTCTTGCAGGAATATGCAGCTGTCCCACAAGGGGATCGAACATGCAACCTTAGCATTATCAGCACCATGCTCTAACTGACTGAGCTATCCCAATGGCTGTCTGAATCCAAAAGAACTACTACATTTGGAAGCCAAAACCTTTGGCAGAACATGTCCCAAGGACAGCCCCTTATAAGAACTGTGCTATGAGGGGGAGATGCTCTCTTTGCTGTTTGTGTTATTTTTGCTGCCTTTCTCCCTTTCATACACAGATGGATGAATCAATATTGGAAAATTGGGAAAGCTGTTATTTATGATGACCGGCAATAATGCACAGGCATGGAAGCGAGCGTTCGCACTGTTGCCAGAACATTCAAAATGCTAGTTCAGTCTTCAGATGTAATGAGGCATACAGTAATGGGACCACTGAAGTAAATAATGTGCTTCATAGCCCACTCCTGTTGTACTATTAAGAAGAGAAGGATTCATCTCTTTTGCACTCCATGCTCCACCGAGTTAGTAGCTCATGTTCTCTCTAGAACTCCCCGGCCAGACTCCCCCAAGCAGAGATGACATAAAGATTTAAAAAACACCTTCCGAATACATTGTAATTTAAAGTAATAATTTTTGTATCTCGTGGAGTTGTTGTAGTGCTATGCAGAGTAGAACTAGTTTAAATTGAAAACAAAGAGGTGCAGTAGCTCTTCCTATGAATGGAATTGCTCCGTGGAAATGTTCTGAAAGGGAAAATTGGTGTAGGTCAGTACAGTGGTGCCTCGCAAGACGAAATTAATCCGTTCCGCGAGAGTCTTCGTCTAGCGGTTTTTTCGTCTTGCGAAGCAACCCTATTAGCGGCTTAACGGATTAGCGCTATTAGCGGTTTAGCGGCTATTAAAGGCTTAAAGGCTTAGGAGTTAGCTGCTAAAAGGCTATTAAAGGCTATTAAAGGCTTAGCAGATTAGATAAAGGGGGAAAGCGAAAAAAATCTCTAGACTCGCAAGACATTTTCGTCTTGCGAAGCAAGCCCATAGGGAAATTCGTCCTGCGAAGCAACTCAAAAACGGAAAACCCTTTCGTCTAGCGGGTTTTCCGTCTTGCGAGGCATTCGTCTTGCGGGGCACCACTGTAGAAGAACACAGGCTTTGTATAAAACAAGGCTAAGTCCCTGGCATCACCAGGCAAAGCTAGAAAAGACCCTTGTCTGAAACCCTGGAGAGTTTCTGCCAGACAGTACAGGCAACAACTGATTGAGGCGCATCTGAGTGACACGCAATCGCCATGCATGCCCAGCACCAAGCCTGGAAGTAGCCCAAAACATTGTAAAGATGTGATGAAAAGGTTCGGAAAAGGGCGTTAAGGGTCAGCAAGGGGAGGGTTTTAAAAAAAATTATTTAATCATTTTTTCGATACAAATAACAACTGCAAAAGACACATACAACAAAAACCGTAATAACAATAATAACACAATTTGACAATTCAGATTTGAATTCACTGACATACCTATGACTACACCTTTTTAACAATATTTTCCCACCTCTCTCTCTCTTCCCCCTCCTTCCTACCACTATCCGCCTTATCGCTTAAATATTTGTTCCAGATTTCTTCCTATTTATCCATTCTTATTTTGCGTTGACATGCAATTCACTTGTATGTAGCTAATCTGTCCATATTATCAATCCATGTGCTCAATGGAATCTTTTTTGGTCAGCAAGGGGAGGTGTGGCAGAGCGGGCTTACGTGCATTCCGCCGATGCACATGGGGGATCCAGAACACAACCCCCGTGCAAAACGGGGATTGTCTGTATAGACAATACAAATATGGAAGGATCCCTGATCAGATTCAGCAGGAGGGTATGTTCCCAAAGACAGGAATCCAGCAATCTCTGGAATGTTTGTACCCACTGGTACATAAATACCATTCTAATGTTATCCCAATCTGTTTCCACCCCTTAAAAATGCTTCATGTTGGTGGTTTAGAAGGAACATAAGAAAACAGGAAGCTGCCTTATCCTGACCATTGATCTATTTACCTCAGCCTTGTCTACATTGATTGACAGCAGCTCTCCAGGATTTTACACAGGGCTCTACAGGTGACAAGGGCACATGAAGTTAATGTCTCCCTTCCTTTCATTTCGTTTTTTCAACTGGATTTTCTGTCCTTTCAATCTGTTGTAGAAGAGATGTGTGAACAATAATAGTTCTGTGACTTCAAGAAACTTCCTCAGTCCATCCCTATAACTAGGGATGTGTGAAAGCTTCCGGATAATTTTTTCGCTAACATATTGAAAGCCCTATTGTCTTTTACCTGCTTGGCGGTTTTACATGCAGAAGAGTCTAAACTTGCTATGAATTTTCCTCTGGTGCCAAGAAGGGATGCATGAAACCCCACTGAGAGTTCTAATTGAAAATTTGGCTTTCATCAAAAATTCTTCAGAGATTTCACCTAAAGATGAGCTGCCAAATTCTCTTCAAATATCACTGCATTCTAGTTATGGTTAGGAATGGATGGATCAGCCTGTTTTCAGACCATGCCAATTTCAGATGTAGTTGTTCCTCAGGTTGTTTCATTCCATTTGTGCATTAATGTATGAACTTTTTTAAAAAAAAAACAAAAAAAAACTCATATTTAAATATGTTTTTGACACATTTAAATATGTATTTTATCTCAGTGTTAGCATTTCTAGATGTACTATATTCTAAAGCATGCATGCTTAATGAAATTTGGTACATTGTACCAAATTTCATTTCACCAATACTACATCTTTTTTTTTCCTCCTTTTAGCTTAAAATTATACAGCAAAATTCAGAAAAGTGAGATAGTACCAATTCATGGATTAGTCCAGGAGCTGCAAATTATGTCAGTTCACTTAGAAATGCAGACCAAATGAGATTCTCCTCTATCACTGTGCATGAAACCAAAGATAAAATATAATTTAAGCTGAATAACTTTCCTTAGTTGATCTGTCAGGAAAATATTCTGCACACCATCCATCAAGCAATCTGTGTGCTCGGCACTGCAAATCACCCTCCTGCTCTCCCTTAACTTTCATATTTAAACAAAACTCCTGCAATGCAAACAGCTAGGCGTACCAGATGCTTCGGCACAGATGTTCTGTCCAAGCATATTGCCTTGGTGTTCCAAAGGCATTATCTTGAGTCCTCCCTCAACGTGACAGTTGTTTCATTTCACCTGTTAGAAGCCATCTTCTTTCACAGATGGTTATATTCAGTTCACTGACAAAATATGCAAATGGCGATGGGTTATATCTACCTAGTCCGCGCTATTATCACCCAGCGCTGCTGCAGCTTCCTTCCAGCTCATCCAGTTCTGCAAATCCTTGCCCTTTGTGGAAGGGACGAGTTTGCCAAGTGCCCAAGGGGGTCTATTTAGACCTGAATGTCTACTGACATGGAGAGATGACATATTGCTGCTATAATTCTGAGGTGTGAACCCACCAGGCTGGAAAGGATTAGCAGAGAATCCTCTCAGCTCCAGGCCCAACAACTGAACTACTCTCTTTGCTCAAGCTGCTGGCAAGGAAACAGAACAGACCAAAGCAGGTCAGCAGCCCAGGAATTGGCTCTAAGCTGTTATTAACTGTCAGCCTGCTCAAAGGCTCCTGATTTAGAAACTAACATAGGAGGTAGAGGAAAGTCAGCATTATATCTATATTGTATTGTGCTCGTTGTGGTGAAATCTCTAACACCAATTTGACTCATCTGGCGTGAGCGTTTCAGCTAATTCCAAATATGCGTATTTATTTCCTACACTGATATGCCACCACTCTGCCAAGCACTCAAGGTGTTTTATGTTTTATAATAATGACCTGCAGTCTCGGAAGACGGGATACAAATGGGAATTTGATGAGAGGAAGAAGGAAACTAAGCTTATGCAGGTGTCAGTGCTTTCATAGGATTACGCATCATGAAGTCCCATAACGGCCAAATGGAATGCTTGTTGTGGGAGACAGTTCTGCGAGGGGGAGGAGCCAAATGGCAGTTGCTCTGAAGGCTTCTTGCTGTGTCATTTCTCCATCTGCCTCATCCAGGTATGATGGCAGCTGATGAAGGTGGTTTGGGGAGGGGAGGGGCAAAATAGCAGTTGGCCTTACCTGAGCTAATGGAGGATGCCTCACTTCACTCTCTTGGAAGAAGCTAGGTAGAATAACTAGCTGATGGACACAAGGATGCATAGAAATGCTTAGTCAAACTCAAGGCTGGGGAACTTGCGACATTCCAGATGTTGTTGAGCTACAGTACCCATCATCCTGTCATGTTAGCTGGAGCTTATGAGAAATGGAGAGGCTAAAAACTTCCAGAGAGTCTCAGGTTTTCTACTCCCTGGTCTAGACTTTGCTGATTTTGGCTTGTGTCACTGAAGCACTGTGACATGATAACCACCTGGGCCAAATGCTGCAACAAGCAGGGAGATGAATTTTACATATTGACTTGAAGTAACCAGGGAATTTCTTGGCTACCAACTTCTCAGAGGGATGATGGGAGGTGTCCAGCAATATTTGGAAAGCCATAAGTTCTCCATCTCTGCCGTAAAATGTAGGATTATCATATACCAGGGGTCGGCAACCTAAAGCCCATGGGCCTCAAGCGGCCCATGGAGGTCGTTTAACCGGCCCATGGACCCCCACTGCCCACTTGGGGACCCCTGCCACCCACTCGGTCAGCTCCCGTGCGCCACGCTAAACTGGAGCGGAGTAGAGCAGGGACAGCCTTCCGCAACACTGGCCGGAAGCTCCTGCAGCCAATGGGAAGCTGCACACGCCTCCTCCACGCCGGAAGGAGTGCCAGAAATAGCGTTTGCGCATGCGTGCATGTGCACTCCGGCCCACTGCAGCGTCTGTGGGACTGTGAACTGGCCCAAGCCACAAAAACTCTGCCGACCCCTGTCATACACTATACCAAAAAATGCTTAGTTTTAATCAGTGCTATTTTTCTAGAAAAGGAGGTGCCAGAACTTGCCATGAACGTCTCCCATGTTCACTTATAATGGCAATGGCACCCACCTGAGAGCTGCAAGAACTGAGTTCCAGTGAGTTCCTGCTCAAAAAAGTCCTTATTTTAATTAACCTGTGTTGTCACATAAACCTTAGGAAAGTGGCATGCTGTATAAGCTTAACCTTACAATGATGCCAACAAATAGTTTTAAACATCACATTATGTCTTGAAACCAGAGACTGCTGGATCAGGAAAAGGGCAGAGTTTTGTCAGATTAAAAGTGACAATGTATTTTATAGATAAGGCATTTTTTAAAAATCTCAAATTACCTTTCTATAATCTCTGTAACCTTTACCCTCCATGACTCTTATTTCCATCCTTTACCTTTTTAATATCTTGACCTACTGAGCGAAAAGTTCAAATTCTCTGCTGGTTTTTTAAAGAAGAAAATTTCTTTTAAATGCTGGTGGGAAAAGATTGCTGCAGAGTCATCATTCCCTCTGATTACAAGTCAATTTAGTATGGGCCAAAAATGGGTTTGATTTCCAAGACTGTGTCCCCATGTACAGTGGTGCCTCGCAAGACGAAATTAATTCGTTCCGCGAGTTTTTTCGTCTAGCGAATTTTTCGTCTTGCGAAGCACGAAATCCCATAGGAATGCATTGAAATTCAATTAATGCGTTCCTATGGTCAAAAAAGTCCAAACAAAGCCAAATTTGGTACAAGAAGAGTTTATTAAGTGCTCTTTAAAGTCACACATACTGTAAAGAGCATTTCAAAAATTGAAGGAACAATAAATTAAGTTTCTAAACATGACAGAAAAACATTTAAAAATCAACAAAGTGTACAGTACATTTTCTAAGACTCTGGGGGACAACTCGAAGAAGGTTCCTCTTCCACTCTTTGCTTCTTGCTGAAGAACCCCCCTCCTCAACTGTTCCCCCAGCCACCCACCACACAGAAATTCAAATCCAGAATTTTTTTAAAAAAACAGCAGAATGGCCCAATGGTCACAGAAAATCATAAAAATGCAGAAAAAAACCACACAAGCTTCCAGATTCTTGCAAACCCCTCCTCAACTGTTCCCCCAGCCACCCACCACACAGAAATTCAAATCCAGAAATTTTAAAAAACAGCAGAGTGGCCCAATGGTCACAGAAAATCATAAAAATGCAGAAAAAACCACACAAGCTTCCAGATTCTTGCAAACCCCTCCCCAACACCAAGTCCCTGAATTCCAAACACCCCAACCCAAAATCCAAAACCCCCAAAAAGTTTTAAAAGTTTAACTTACCAAATGGCTGCAAAAGAAGTTTTGGAAAAGCTTCAAAAATCACCAAAGTCTTCAAAAACCTCAAAAAAGGCTACCACACCGCGTTCTATGAGTTGCTCCTCGAAGTCAAGTCGCGACTGTATTAACGGTGTTAAGAAAAAGGAAACAAACTTGCAAGACGTTTTCATTTTTCGTCGTGCAAAGCAAGCCCATAGGGAAATTCGTCTTGCGAAGCAGCTCAAAAAACGCAAAACCCTTTCGTCTAGTGAGTTTTTCATCTTGCGAGGCATTCGTCTTGCGGGGCACCACTGTATTATGAAGGTTCAGAGCCAACAGTGCTCAGCATCGCACCTCCAAACTACCCTTGTGATCATTTGAGAGAATGAAAATGTAAAAAGAAGGTACAGGTGAGGCTTCAGCAAGTGGCACAGTCAGGATTGAAAAGGTTCAAAGGAACATGGTCCTTGGTAACATTTTCCTCCCTAGAATGTCAGTGGACTAATGACTTAATACCTGATTTGAGAAGCTGGTTCAGAGACTTGATGTCTCATGATCTGATCACCCTGCACTCAATAAGGTGTCCATGAGTGCTAGGGCTATCTGCTCCAAGTTTGGTCTGAAGCACATGAAAGGAGAACAGTGGCCTTGAACTGGCCCATAAAAAGCTAGCATGCACACACACACAAATGCAAATTTTTATTTGTGGATTTTATAATGTTGATGAAACAGATACAGAGCAGGGATGGACACAGCAGCTAATTCTGTCCCATTATGGATTTTGCTAGCATTTGATTATAGATGTTTTCTGTGGCATGAAATTACGTTCCAAAGGGTGCATTTTGTTCTGATTTGTGCTGCACTTATTACACAGCTTTTACATGTATGTATTTTTTATGCAATGCTGCCACTGCAAAATCTGGAGTTGTGAGCAATCCAAGTGGGAGTTGTGTTCTGATCTGCAGGGAAGTTTGGAAGTGTTGAATCTGGAAAAGTGTATGATACAAAAAAAGAGACTAAATCTCTAACGCAGAGCTACGAAATGTCAGATTCCCAAGCAAACCCACATTTTAGAAATAAGTATTTGCTTTTAGATCTCATACAAAACATGCCCTGTATTTATGCACTATGTCACAGGAAATCTGGGACCCGTTGCCTGTCAAATCCAGCATCCCATTACCTGACACTGATGATAGATATACTTTGCTCCCCATGATTGAACACAATTTCAAGCTTTGGGATTTTCATTAAACTATCTTTGAACAAAAAACATCTCCCTCCCCCTCAAAAAAACCTTCCTGTATCAGAGATAAGGATCATGGCAGAGTGGGTCTACATAATCCAAAGTTGGCAATGTCGTCCTACAACAGGTTTGCATATATTCATAAATATGTTGAGGCAGCCACAAGCTTCAAATTACCTGTTGTTGTTTTTTCAAAGTATAACAAGGAATGGTTTTTACTTTTCCAGGAAATAAGCTTTTTAAAGTCTTCAGTCAGCCACTGAGTTCTGTTGTGAAGGAGATCAACAACTAAATAGGTGTGAAGGGATCTTCTGACAGCTGCTAACTTCTATATTTTTTGTCAGAGCCAGACTTGGGCTGGATCTAGACACTTCAAAAAAGGGTTTCAGGAAAACGTGTTGTAAACGTCATAATAGGAAATCACGTTGCTGAAAGACAGAACTCCACAGCACCATCTGGTGTCACGGTGTTATAACACATTTAAAACACTCCTCACCCCTTTCTTTTTAGTAATGAAACTGAGTCCTTGATCACTGCAACATGACCAAAATCCAGACCTGGGATGAGGAGTTTCCAGCCAAGCTGGCACACCAACTCCATGGGGCTGAGGTGTTTTCAGCCCCCTCAATATTTGTTGCAAGGGAGCTGAGGAGGCCGAGCGTGGGGCTGAGTTTGAAGCAGCTTCAGTGGTTGGCTCCTCCTGAGCATGAGAGACGAGGAGCCACCGGCCATTGAAGCCGCCTCATCCTGGGCTCCACTTTCGGCCTCCTTCCAATGATGTGACATCGAATGTGTCGCACATTGCACACACGACGTCACACACATGTGATGCATGCTGGGCCCTCTCAATCTTGCGTGTAAGTTGGCACCTCTGCAGCCAAGAGTCCCTCTTCTCTGCTAGAACCAGAACTGGAGAAGTGCAATATGCAGAAGTCCACAATGCCTATGTAATGTCTCCGGGATCAGAGACAGCATGTCTATGAATTACCAGCCACTGGAAAACTACAGCAGGAGAGGGCTGCTTGTGGGCTTCCCATGGTAGTAGTAGTAGTAGTAATAATAATAATAATAATAAATTTATTATTTATACCCTGCCCATCTGGCTGGGTTTCCCCAACCACTCTGGGCGGCTCCCAACAGATTAAAAAGAGAATAAAACATCAAACATTAAAAGCTTCCCTAAACAGGGCTGCCTTCGGATGTCTTCTAAAAGTAAGATAGTTGTTTATTTCCTTGACATCTGATGGGAGGGTGTTCCACAGGGAGGGCGCCACCACAGAGAAGGCCCTCTGCCTGTCCTTGTAACCTCACTTCTTGCAGTCAGGGAACCGCCAGAAGGCCCTCGGAGCTGGACCTCAGTGGCTGGCCTAACGATGGGGGTGGAGACGCTCCTTCAGGTATACTGGGCTGAGGCCATTTAGGGCTTTAAAGGTCCACACCAACACTTAATTGTGCATAGGCATCTGGTTGGCCACTGCGAGGCGTTAGATGGGTCTGTGGTCTGATCCAATAGGGTTCTTCTTATGTTCTTAAGCTCTGTTGACCATGAAGACCAGAAGGGCAGGGCTTCTAATATTTAGATCAGTCTTGGCCAATCCAGAGGCTTTGTTGGAACAGTGAGTTCCGCTCGTAGAGGGGAATGACTGGGGGGTGTCACAAGGAAAGGTGTAAGGGGATAACCTTTTTTTGTAACTCTCATTAACATTGAAGAAAGTGAAGGCAACTCAGTTGCCCTGCTTCTTCCCCACCCCTTTTCTTTACAGTTTGTAAAAGGCAGTGTTGGGTTTGTTATAAGCAAAGTTTGTCAGTTAATGAAAGAAATCTATGTTAAAGAAGTCAAGCTTCCAAGAATCATCATTCCTGTTAAAAATACCTTGGCTGTTGCAATAGGCTATATATGTTTCACATTCCTCTTTCCATCGGTGCACGAATAGAGCTCCTATGCCAAGACAAGGGGAAGCAGCCATAGCTTATTGGCATGGCCAAAACCTTGCTGGCATGGGAGCCTAATTCAATTGCTGGTACTGCACCCTATTCTCAGTTCCTAGGAACTGTTTTGCTAAGGGCCAAATTCGATGTGATAACTCACCTGCAATCAAGTGAATAATAATAATAGTATTAATTATTAATTATTATTTTATTATTTAATTAAAACATTCCATGGGGGCTGCAATCCCATTTTAGTAAGAATGACAGCCACTCTGGGCAACTCCCAATAAAATGTTGTTGTTGTTGTTGTTTA